TAGACATTTGCCTTGACTCCAGAAACAAATAAACATCATCTGCAAAAGGTTAAACAAAAGCTGGGAATGTAATGTTTTGTTTGGAAAGGACATAATAGTGTTTAGCTTCTGTAAGTTTATTTCCTGTGTTATCTCCAGTGAGTGAACTGAGTCCCCTCTCTGATTTTCCAGTTTAGGCTTTGTTGCCCTTAGGCTTATTATTGTAGGTCTGGTAGAACTCCTCTTGAGCCTGGAGCCAAACTGAGCAGTTCACTTCTTGCACAAATATTGTTCTGGTTTGCATGTAACTCACCCCACCCAAAACCCAGTGCTCCTTGATTGGCCCACATAAAATCAGTCATCATTCTTTCCTAGTGGATTACCACCTACTAGTTACCTACCTAATCTCTATCATCAAGAGGTACCAGAACAAACCTCACCTTCTGTCCGGCTCTAAAAGCCAAGAAAAGACACACTGAGGTTCTTCTAAGGAGTTTCCTTTATTGTTCCTCCCCAGAGGTGGGATTCTACCAGCTCACACCTATTCACTAGAACTGGTTGTTAACATTCTAAGCAGTTTGGAGAACAGGTAGTTAGAAGAAATTACTGGCCTAATCCTGTAAGGAAGGCAGGAAGGAAACATTCTGGTGTTGCTTACAGAAACTGCCTCTCCGTTAACCCTTATTACATTCTTGGCAGGACTAGACTTCCTGTCTCAGGAACTTCTCTGGAGTTTTTTTTAACCCTCCTTTGCTGGTACTTTGCTTGTGTGGAGTGACCATTCAAAGTTACAATGGTACTGAACAAAGTGACTTATGACCATTTTTCGTACTTATGACTGTTGCAGCATCCCCACAGTCATGAGAGGCCACGCGAGGAGATGCGTGCCTCGATATGAGTGATATTGAGTTGGCCACAGCCACCAACTAAACCATGCCCACAGAACCGGTTGTTAAACAATTTGAATCCCACCCCATAGACAGAAATCTTGCCCAACTAAAGCAAATACTTACACTATTCAACACATACTCTGAGAAGTCCTAAGGAGGAGCTGCTCTGACTCTTTTCTTCCCAAACTCTCTCAACCTCTCTGTTTTTTGCTCCTCTGGAACACAATCCCTCCCTCCTGAGAATTCAGATTAAACTTCATCACATTTACTTACCAGGACATCATTTTGCATCGTGTATGCTCTTTGGAAAGGTTTACATAAAGCTCAGCAAAAGCACACCAGAAAAATTTGCAATTATGTAATGTTCTCATAAATAAGTCAGCCATTCAGGAAAGAAAACTGGTGCCATACTGCAAGTTGCTTTTGTGTGTGTGTTTCTGAGGTTGATTGATTTCAATTCAGGTGTTGCCCCACTCTAAATTAACTCTTGAACACAATATAATAAGCAATAAAAACACAGAACAAAGTAAATTGGGATTGTTTCAACCCAGTAAGGGAATTTATGAGAATTCCCTGGCTAGGTTTACACAACAAAAATCCAGGGAATGGCTTAAATTAACATTTAGTGCAAATTGTAAATGATATAAGATTACTGGAGTTTTCTTGGGGCGGGGGAAACACCTCATCCTCAAGAAATCTTTCTTCAGCATAACACCGCACACTTGAGTCACTCTGAGGCATAGCTGAGCTTCATACCTGGCATTTAAAGACCCTTGGCTGATGGTATCTCCCTCACCCAGCAGTTCATCATCACTATGGTAATACAATTCATCATCTTCTTGCCTAGAATAATGAGGATCAATACAAGAACTGTTTGTATATTATGGGGTTTTTTAGGTATCAAGGATTGATGCTGAGAGCAGGAAAAAGCAATTCTAGGATAATTGATAAATGAATTGGATAGATAAATAGCACGGCTGGGCAAATTCCCCATGAATGGGTTAAGGGTGAGAAGGCATACTGTAAGTTAATGATGTATCACTGATACCTTGAGTGCTCCCTCTGAACAAACTATAATTAATGTCTGATCAATAGAGCACTAAGATGCATTTCCAGTTTATGCTGCAAAATACTGCATTATTGTACACTGTGTAGGTGTATACACCTACACAGATGAATGAGATGCTTAAGACTTTCCTATCCAGTGCTTTTACCTTGTTACTGCTTTTCTTACAGGAATGCAATTTTCAACTCTTTCCTAAACAGATCGGTCCCTTGTTTTATGCCACTTGGACGCTAGAGGGCATCAACTTCAAAACTAATTTGTTATAGATTCACTTTAGCTGCACAACAATAACTAACTTTTGGAGGAAACCCTTAATGCAGCTAGCCAAAACTGAGACATATATTTTCACTCAATGGATAAGGAATGAAAAAATAAATAAAAATGTATGTGTGCATGAGGGGATGAGGAGGAAATTTTCCAGTGATGGTTTGTCAAGAAATGTACATATGTTTGCAAGAGTTAGGAGATTATTTGGAGGATGGCTAACCAGTTGTTTCATTTGTTGAGCTTTTCGTGATGAAGGCTTACATTAATGGTGTAGGAGGTTCTGTGTATTTTGTTTCATAGATTCAGAAACTGCAAGAAAAAGAGAGAAGATCTGAGCTTTGAAAGTTCAACTTCTCCCTGAAATGCCATTTCTTGAAAAGCAAACAAAATTACATTAGTAGACTCTTTTCCTTCATTTTCCTAAAAAAACATTTTTTACTCAGATTCTGTTAGAAATCTTATGATGTTCAAGGTGGCTTTAAAAATCATATCTTACATTTTGGAGTTTGGAACATCATTATTTTTTTTAAAAAAAACCAATAAACTCCTCTGAATCCTAGAAAAAACACAAGACTGTCCAATCCTGAAATATCATTTGGATGTTTTATGTTTTTATGTTTTGCGACCTGGTGGACCAGCAGAAGGGTGGGGGAAGAGGGGAACCCGGACTGCACAAGTGACAGACTAGCATGCACGACTGTGTGCAACTCGATTTGCACAACCAGTGGGTTGGCGTATACTTGAACACCTGCACAGCTCAACTTGAGTAAGTGGATGCATGCTGGCCCATTGCTCACAGGGCCTGGTTGCAAATAGATTGCCCAGCAGTTGCCGCAGCCCAGGGATTGGGGATGCTTGCACAAGGTCAACTCAATTTCTACCATTTCTAATAGCGAAATGCTTTAATTACATAATAATTATGTAAAACCTAATTTCTCTGCAATCGAAAAGCTTCTTAAAATAAATGGTAGCCAAAAAATACATATTGCTATAACAAAGAAATATTTTCTACCAATTGAGTTGGGGGCCTAAAACCACATATTTGATTATTCTTCTCCCTGGGCTTGTTACTTCTGACAGTCTCTAAGAGTTTAATGAGCTATTTGGGCTGCAGGAGCAACTCCTGATTTCTTATGCTGCCTGAGCCATTATTTCTTGGCAGCTAATGAAAAGCTTAAAATTGGTAGTCTACTGGCAGGTGGTAAATGTCACCCAAATAACTACAAAACAGCCATAGATGGAGTAAATTCATATTGATGCCAGTTATCTGACAGATCATTCTGAGAAATAATTTCCAAGCTCCGTGCGATTACCTTCTGAGCTATTTATTGTTTGCCTTCTCTTGCATTTAAAATTGCTTAGTTACTCTGTAGTTTTTCTTTAGGTAGCTTAGTAAAAGTTTGACTTGATGGATGCTGCCTTTTCTTCTGAATAACTACTCCCAGTTTTTTCTTGTCAAGGTTTGGAAAGAATCAAACATGTATTTTGATCTCCTAAATGAGGATGTCGACACACACACACACACACACATGCACCATGCACATAGTGGTACATTATGCTTGTTAACACTAAGCATCGTATTTCTGCCCTGCAACAAAACGGTTACATATTGATCTGGGTAGTTGACCTACAGCTCCAATTAGATAGTTCAAAGCCATTTCATATAACAAATTGGCTTTTTCCATATTTCGCCTGGCCGAACAGAGATCTTTGCTATACTGTGTAAGGTGCTCCTACTTGCAAAACAGATGGGCAGAATACACCCAAAACAATTGAAAACTGGCAACATTTATACCAGGTCTCAGACCAACACCAGGAACATCAACATCTAAGCTGTTCAGATGCAGGAGAATCTATGCTGAAGCAATACATTTTCATGCTATATCCCCAGTGATTCAGTTTTGGGTAGCAGTTAGTCTGACCTTGAATTCAATAGACAATCTGAAATCAGGTAAATTAGTAAATCCATCAGCAGGATTAGCAGATATAGAACACAGTTCTGGGATGTGCATTTTTCAATGGAACAGAATATCTACAGCTCAGGGTTGTACTGTGGAGTCCTGGGTTTGGTTGTTTGTTTGCCCATATTTCATCTAAGAGATAATCAGAGTTGAAAGGGATCTTGTAGGCAATCTAGTCTAACCCCCTGCCCAAGCAGGAGACCCTACACCATTTCTGACAAATCTCTTCTTGACCCACAACTTCCAAGGGCAAGCTGTTCCATTGGTTGATTGTCCTCACTGTCAGAAAGTTTCTCCTTATTTCCAGGTTAATCTCTCCTTGTTCAGTTTCCATCCATTATTCCTTGTCTGGCCTTTGGGTGCCTTGGAAAATAGCTTGATCCCTTCCTTTCTGTGGCAGCCCCTCAAATATTGGAAGACTGCTATCATATCTCCCCTGGTCCTTATCTTCACTGGACTAGCCAGGCCCAGTTCCTGTAACCATTCTTCATATGCCTTACTCTCCAGTCCCCTAATCATCCTGGTTGCTTTTCTTTGTACTTTTTCTAGAGTATCAACATCTTCTTTATCGTGTGATGACCAAAACTGGATGCAGTACTCTAGGTGTGGTCTTACTAAGGCTTTATAGAGTGGTATTAGTACCTCACTTGATTGTATCCCTCTGTTGATGCAACTTAGGATAGCATTAGCTTTTTTGGTAAGTTAGGTAATTTGGTAAGTTAAGCAAGTTAGGTAATTTCACTAATTAGGTAACAAAATGTCTTCAAGCAAACTACCAAGCTCAGAGAGCACCCAGGACTCCACAAGAGTATTTATATTGTAGGTTTGACTTAATACCTCCGGAAGGCTTTCTCTGTAGTGCTGGTCTTGCTTGACTGCCTGTAGCTGGGAAGCAGGACATCAGTGTCATGGGGATCACCATCTGGATGGACCCTGGGACTCTCCAAGAATTCATCATCATTCCAAGCCCCAACGCTGCCATCCACGGCCTGGTACCGAATCTCAATGGAAACACTGGTCTGAAAGAAAAACAAATCACAGCCACAGTTATGAACCCCTTCCTTTACAAACACATTTCCCCCTGGGTCAAGGATGGTTCCATCCCCGTGGTATTCCAAAAAAGCAGGTAAAACATCGCTCTCTTGCAGAACTTCATGGACTGAAATGCAGAAAGTACTAAGTGGATATTTTCCTTGACAAGCAGAGGTTATTTGGATAGTTAGCAATCAATTGCTTGAATTCTAAGTTTGTTGCATTTATATTGCACTATATTGGATTGTATAAGTCACTTATATGACTGAAGTAGCATACAGATAGCCCTCAACCTGCAACCTTTTTTTTTTTAGTGACGATTTGAAGTTACAATGGCACTGCAGAAAGTGACTTATGGCTGTTTTTCACACTTACAGGTGTGGCAGCATCGCCTGGTCACATGATCAAAAGTTGGACCCTTGGCAATTGCTCATATTTAGGATGCTTTTGGTGTGTAACCTTCTGACAAAGCAAAATCAATGGGGATGCCAGATTCACTTTACAATCGTGTTACTAACTTAACAACTGAAAAGTGATTCATTTAACAACTATGGCAAGAAAGTACATAAAATGGAGCAAACAAATACATACATACATACATACATACATACATACATACATACATACATAGTTGTTATGTGATTTCTTCCCTATTATCTAGAATGGAGTAACTGATCCTATAATTATAATGGAGATAAGGATAATAATAAGATACTTAGGGACTGAGTTTCAACTTGAAGATTAGTAAGGTTCAGGGGTGGGATTCAACCGGTTTTATTACCGGTTTGGTGACTATGTTTTGCGCGCGCATGTACAAAAACCACCAGCTGTGCCACCCGGACAGCTGAAAAGCACTGTGCGTGAGTGTGCAGGGTTTGAAAAGCCTCTTTTGTCCTGCTTTTTCAACCTCAGCTGTGCCGCGCAAAGCAGCTGAGGTTGAAAAAGTAGGAAATAAAGGACAGGTAAGAGCCCGGGCGGGTGGGTGGGACAAACAGCAGCAAACACAGAACCGATTCAGTATCTGCTGCTCTTCAGAACTACCGGTTCTTTAGAACTGGGCAGAACTGGTAGCATCCCACCCCTGGTAAGGTTATTGAAGAGTTCACATAGTTGTTAAACATAGATCTAATGTGTAAAATAAACTAAGGCATCTAATATAAACAGTGGAATTGATAACCTAGTGTGACCTTTGCATAAGACAATCTAAAACAGTGACCTGAACTTTTAAAAAAGCAACCTAAAGCACTGGGAGGAAGGAAACAACTGTAGGTTAACTGTACAACTGTGTTAACAGGACAACTGTAGGTTACAAAGTTGGTTGCCAGAGAGTTTTTCTTTTATAAGTAAATATTGCCAAGTAGGAAAAGGTTCCTGCATATTTTTATAACCAGTTCTCTTTTCCTTTGATGAAACAATTTCATTTTTTGACATTTTTTTCCAACGGAGAGATATATTTTGGCAAAAGTCTCGTGAATGGTGTTTTTTCACAGCTCTACCTACAAATTAGCCAGGTGATACTTTTTCTTACCATATCAGCATTTCTCCAGGAATCTCCAGCCTCTCTGGCTGCCAACAGATCCATTAAATCTTTTAAAAAAAAAAAGTTATCCTGGAGGAATTACTCCCACCGAGCTTTTTCAGAGTGGTAAATGTGGCCAATTAGAGGACTAGAAACCGATGGAAAGATGAGTAACAGAAAACAATAACTCCTAACTAATGGCAGTTTCTGCCACTAAACGCTAGCAAGAGAAAGTTAAAAAAAAAACCTTTACACATCTTTGAGAATAAAGGAGAAAAATAGAGGCTCCTTCTCCGTACAAAAGTGAGAACTGCAAGGGAAATTTTGATTCAATTAGGAATAGATAAGGACCTACAATAGAACGCTAAAATGTATCTTGATCCTTGTATGTCGTGTGTCATGGCGGCATCTCACCTATCTAAGCTTCATGAGCAGACAGCCAGACATTAGCATGGGAGGGTGTGGGGGAGGAGGGAAAGATTGGAGTGCGAAGAAAGCGGGGAGAGATGAAAGCCCAGCTGAGCCATGTGAGAAGCTCCAGCCAGTGAAGGTCATTAGTGATATGCAGAGCTGGGAACCGAGCAACTGCTTCCTGAGCAAGATACAAGCATCTGATTGGACCTTTGCAGATAACCAGGGATGGGAGGAGAAGGAACTTTACTTTGTGTTGTGTGCACAGGAAAAACTCAGATTCAGCTTACACTCTCTTTCAGTAGCCACCTAATCTTCAGCAAAGTATATTCTTGGCAAAACAAATGGCCAGGAGTCTGTCTTTCCTAGGTGACTGAGTGGGACGGTTGACATCGTGTTTCTCAATCTGGCTGGGGCCTTCTGGGAAATGAAGTCCATGTATCTTAAAATTACCAAGGCTGAGAAAAATTAAAAAGGCCAAGTTTAAAATTTTATGCCTATTGGGTTGGCTGAAGCTTCATGGCATGTTTCTTAAGGTTAGGTCCTCCTAAGTGACTTAGATGAGGGAATAGAAGAGGAACTTACCAAATTTGCAGATGATACTAAGCTGGCAGGAGATAGGTTCAAGATCCAGATGGATCTTGACAGACTAGAACACTGGGCCGTATCTAACAAAATGAAATTCAATGTAGAGAAAAGTAAAGTCTTACACTTAGGCAAGAAAAACCAAAAGTACACAAAAAACTGGGCGAAACCAGGCTCAATAGCAGGAACTGTGAGAGGGATCTTGGAGTCTTAGTGGATAACCAGTTAAATATGAACCAGCAGTGTGCAGCCGCTGCCAAAAAAGCCAATGCAATCCTAAGTTGCATTAATAGAGGGATACAATCGAGATCAAGTGAGGTACTAATGTCACTCTATAAAGCCTTAGTAAGACCACACCTAGAGTACTGCATCCAATTTTGGTCACCATACTATAAAAAAGATGTTGAGACTCTATAAAAAGTACAGAGAAGAGCAACCAGGATGATTAGGGGACTGGAGACTAAAACATATGAAGAATGGTTACAGGAACTGGGCTTGGCGAGTCTAGTGAAGAGAAGGACCAGGGGAGATATGATAGCAGTCTTCCAATATTTGAGGGGCTGCCACAGAGAGGAGAAAGGGGTCAAGCTATTTTCCAAGGCCCCCAAAGGCCAGACAAGGAATAATGGATGGAAACTGATCAAGGAGAGATTCAACCTAGAAATAAGGAGGAATTTTCTGACAGTGAGAACGATCAATCAATAAAACAGCTTGTCTTTGGAAGTTGTGGGAGCTTCATCACTGAAGGCTTTCAAGAAAAGATTGGACAGCCATTTTTCAGAAATGGTGTAGGGTCTCCCGCTTGGGTGGGTGGGGGATTGGACTAGATGACCTACAAGGTCCTTTCTAACTGTGTTAATCTATAACAAGCATGACAACACCTCCCTTTTGTTATGCAGTCTTCTTCTTTGGCTACAGAGTCATCAGCATCTGCTGCATTGCTATAGGGAAAAGTTTGATAAAACACAGCATTTATGTGGCTGAAACATGGAATGTAGCTGAATCATCTCAACAGATGTCAAAATATAGGGAGGTTTCCCCCCTTGTGTGACTACTTAGTGGAAAAAATCAAGGCTCCAAACCACAGCATGATTTTCTTGCAACCATCAGGACTTATAAACTCATGCTGCCTGAGAAGTGAATACAATTCCTGCAATCAGCTGCCACATTTACTATTTAGTGACAGAAACACTGGAAAACACACATACACATGTATGTATGTATGTATGTGTCAGGATTCCGGCAGTTACTCCAATTAAATCATGAGCCTGAGCCACACTCCCAAAACTAAAGAGGATTTATTTGAAGTTAACATTCTACGCACTAACCTGGGTGTAGCCAACTCTGAGATATGTAATTTACTGTCATCCTTGATCCTTCTTCCCCCCATCACACCTCTGGGTACATCATCCAACAAAAAGCATCCATAGCCAAGAGTCATCAATCATGCTCTCCAATTAGATTTTTTTCGCAGCAATAGCTTCAGCCATCAGTCTTTGAAGAAAATGTGAATGGAATGTACTTTTGATTCCAACTCACAAAACATGACAGTATGTATGTAAAGGTAGTCCTCAATTTATAACAGTTCATTTAGTGACTGTTCAAAATTACGATGGCACTGAAAAAAATGACTCATGACCATTTTTCAGAGTTACAGCTTTTGCAGTATCCCCATGGTCACGTGATCAAAATTCAGATGTTTGGCAATTGGTTCATATTTATGATGGTTGCTATGTCCCAGGGTCATGTAATCACTTTCTGCGACCTTCTGACAATCAAAGTCAATGGGAAAGTCAGATCAGTAGTGGGATTCAAGTATTTTTGCCACCAGTTCGGTGAGCATGGCTTGGTGGGCGTGCTTTGTGCGCATGTACACACTTTGCGTGCACGCGCGCGCCAAACACGCACTTTGCGCAGGTGCAGAGGGGTTTGTGCAGGTGCAGAGGTGTTCTAACTCGCCTCCGGCAAGCCTGCACAATCCCAGTCGCTTCAGCAGCTGCTGCGCGCGGCACTATTCTGTGCCGCGCAAAGCAGCTGCGCTTCAAATTCAGCAGATAAAAGTGAGTATGGGAGCCCAGGGGGCGGGTGGGCCCAACAGCAGAGTGGCCGAGAGAACTGATTTGGTCTCCGCTGCTCATCGCTGCTACCCGCTCACCAGAATACCACTGGTCGAATACCACCACTGAGTCAGATTCCCTTAACAACCAGGTTAAACAACTTAATTTAACAACTGCAGTGATTCATTTAACAACAGTGATTCATTTACAAGAAATGGCAGAATCCTGAAAGTCATGTGATTTTGTGGTTTTAAGGTATATAATGAAATGTTGAACAGTGGGAGGTGGCCAATAGGCCTCAAGCCATCCCTTTTGACTGCTTCAATTGACCCTCATTGCAATGTGATGTAAGTGCCTACAGGGAAGGCTTTGTTCACTATGCTTTCAATTCTAATAAACCTCTGAATCCAAAAGTGACACTTTTGTGGTGTGCTGTGTCTGCTCTCCAGTCATGTCAACAAAAGCTCCCCTGCTATCAAAATAACAGCTTAAAATTGCAAGCTCCGTTGCAATTCCTCCTCAGAGATGGACCTGTAATGGGGGTGATACATTCAGGTTCCACAGTGACAGAGAGCAATGGAAAACAAAAGAAAGCAAAAACGATGTTTTAAATCCACAGCTTTGCAACCCGTCCCTAGTCTCTTTCAAATCAGTAAATCTGATTAAATATTTTTGCAGAATGACTTTCTACCTTCAGTCTCTATTTATCTCTTTCTCCGGATAACTCAGACACAGGTCTACTGAACTACAACAGAAATAGGGGGGAAAAAATAGAAGGGAGGTTCCTAACATGCTCTCTTTTTCTATGTGTGGTTCCCATGGTTACTGAATAAGGTAGTAAATTACATGCCTTACCCAAGCATTTCTATACTGACATAGGCACTGGGTGATTTTAGCCATGGGTTAAAAAGCTCTGATTGCTAAAATTGGGTGAATGTAAGGTCATGGTAAAAGCAATGTTTGAAAGCAAAGTATGACCAAAAAACAAATAAAAAACCCAACAACAAACCTTGGAGGCAGAGGCAAACTTCATAACACAATTTATAAAATAGCAGATTTTTATATTACCGTACATCCTGTTGTGTATACTTATTGAAAGAGAAATTAAATATTGATTGAACAGAGAGATAGAAAGAATGCACCTTGCACTGGTTTTTTTTCTTTTAAAACCCAACAATCCTCAAATGCTAGTCTTTCTTGTTCTCCAATAAATCCATTAAGTTGCACCCTTGAACAGCTGGGATCTTGTGGAATGGAATTCTATGGACTTATGCAGTCAGAATATGATTCTATAGTTTTTTTAAAAAAAGAATAGATCTATGACCTTTTTAAACATTTCTCCATTCCATGTCGTGAGGAGGAGGTTTAAACAAGAACTTGACATTCAGGTGGAGTTGGGCAAAGATTTTAGCAAGCACTTCTTGAAGGGGCTTACAAACATCCGCAAGGACTGATTGGAAATCCCCAATTATTTTCATATTTGCCTAAAGTCAACTGTATGCAACCTGTGACTTGATTTCAGTGGGGAAAGTTTAGTATCAATCAATGGTGACTCTACTATGGGTTCAATATAACATGAATGCATAAAGACCAGACCAAACTGTGAAATAAGCAATAAAGATAGCTTTATATTGCAGCACCTCATTTTTAAACTAACAGAGCCCTGGTGGCATAGTGGTTAGAATTCAAAATTGCAGGCTAACTCTGCTCACAGAGTGGAGTTCGATCGTGATGGGGCTCAAGGTTGACTCAGCCATCCATCCTTCCATGGTCAATAAAATGAGGACTAGGGTTGTTGAGGGCAATATGCAAATAATGCTTACATTGTAAACTGAGTTATGGGGTCGTATATAAGCCTAAATGCTATAAATTGTTTCTTACCCCTTTCCCACGAACAATGCAATCTCAGGACAGCCTGCAAGCCTCTATCATCACCATCCATAGGCAGTGAAAGAAGCTATGCAAAAGACTGGATTTTGATCTGGATGCACAACTGCTCATCTAAGTATTATGGAAACACCATTGTTGGAGGAAAAAAAACCCAATCAACTCAGAAGACCATGGACAGAATAAAAATGGCTCCACCTCCCCTTGGGCAACACTACGATATTTACTTGAATGGACACATTGTTGTCATCGATCAAGGTGTCTGTTAGATTCAATTGTCCTTCTTCCACAACTTTCTGCAGGACCATCTGGAATATACCAATGAGTCTAGAAAGCAAGCAGAAAAGACAATGAGATTCTTAGAAAACAAATCTTAGCTAGACAAACTTCTGCATTATCGAATTCCTGTAGGAAGAAATAGCTAGAAAGAAAAGGAGAGACAGCATAAATTTGCATTTGTGTGATTTCTTAAGCTCTAAAGTTAGATTATCAAAATACAATTGCTGTGTTCAAAGAAGATAACATAAGCAAATAAACAAGATTATGACTTTACATCATCAACTTATCAACCAACTTATCAAAGCTCGTTTTAGTCTGGTCTAGTGTGTTGTGGAAATCCAGTTGAAGGGTAAAAATTTTGAAGAGAGACTGGTAGATAATTGTAAGTAGCTAGGGAGTCGGGACACAGGGAGCTGACTTCATTCAGGAAAGACATCTGATTCTCCAAGCCTAGACTGTTTGCTTTGACAGGCAGTTACTCTCAGGATTTCTGGCAAAGAAAGATCCTTCCCATCCCCAGCTCCCCTTTAACTGGAAATATTGAAGACTGAAAGCGGGACCTTTTGAAAATGATAGATACTCTCCCAATGAGCTTTGCCCCATCTATATATCCAAAGAATGATTAATTTTCTATTCTCTTTGCCAGCATTTTCTAAAGGTTGCGGGCAGGAGTTATTTCCCAGCCCTGTGTGAAATGTCTTTGCTGAAATGATAACAGTATGCACAGGGGATCCTCTTGCCACTGACATATCATCTTTATTCTTTTAAGGACTAGAAACCAGCAGGAAGCAAGCATTAGAGGAGAACAATAATGAGATTAGGACTGTAACAAAAATGAGCAACCAATGGTATTTGTTGTTAGTTGTGAAGTTGTGTCCGACCCATCATGACCAGGGGTGGGTTTCTACCGGTTCTGTCCACCTCTGTAGAACCGGTAGCTCTGAAGAGCAGCAGACATAGAACCAGTTCTATGTCTGCTGATGTTTTTGCCCACTCCCCACCTGGGCTCTTACCGGATCTTTATTTCCTGATTTTTCAACTTCAGCTGCCAAACGAGGCACAGCTGTAGTTAAAAAAAACAAGGAAAGAGGGCTGTTTCAAAGGCTGCTTCTAGGTGCTAATGACAATTTGTGACGATTTACAGGTGCGGCTCACAGCTGGCAAGGAAGCTCATAAATCCCAAACTGGTAGTTAACCCTTTCGTATCCCACCCCTGATCGTGACCCCATGGACAACATTCCTCCAGGCCTTCCTGTCCTCTACCATCCTCTGGAGTCCATTTAAGTTCACGCCTACTGCTTCAGTGACTCCATCCAGCCACTTCATTCTCTGTCGTCCCGTTCTTCTTTTGCCCTCAATCGTTCCCAGCATTAGGCTCTTCTCCAGTGAGTCCTTCCTTCTCATTAGGTGGCCAAAGTATTTGAGTTTCATCTTCAGGACCTGGCCTTCTAAAGAGCAGCCAGGGTTGATCTCCCCTAGGACTGACTGGTTTGATCGCCTTGCAGTCCAAGGGACACACAGACTTCCTTGTGACTAATCATACCACGTTGCTATCTACCAGCTTCTGACTGCAATATCAATATTTGGACATTGTGCCAGATATGATTTTGCCCTTTCCCAAAAGCTAAAGTCAGAAGAAATTATACCATTAATTATAATTATGCCCTAATTAAACATCTGTGTCTCTCTTTTTCCATCCTGCTGCACCAGCCTTGGAGCCCAGCCAGATCACTTGGTGACACATTCTTGGAGAGTGTAAGGGACAGCCATTTGTAAGGGAAGTCATTCACTGGAGCTGCAGACTGGTTCTTAAAGCACTAACAAGCCCAACTGGCAAATGGATGTGATAAACAAGCTGCTACACTTGATGTTATGAATTATAGCGTAACTCAAGATGTCTAGATATTTGTTTCGATACACTGGTGACCAATGTATTTGCTTGTTAATTATAAGTAAAGAAACAGGTTTTTGAATTTCCTCAATCTTTGGTTTTCTTTAGTGGTGAGTTTTCTACCATCATGGATAAGAATCTATCGGTTGATGTGATTGTTATGATGTGACACTGACTTGATGGTATATAAACAGTTACTTTCTACCACACCATACAGCTCTACTCTTTTCCATGCAAAAGGGGAAAAGCAGAACGTGTATTGAGAATGGTTTGCAAATTAGTAGGATTTACATAATGATCTTCGAAGCATCGATCAATCAGATTCCCATTTGTACTCCAAAGTCTAGTGCTGAAAAGTATACACGGATTGCCATTCAGCACAGAGTTTTACTGAGATCCTCTGAATCTTGCCACATTTGATAGGCTTATTTAAAAATCAATTAAGTTCAACAATTCCATGTTATCCACCCTTCTATTACTCCATATTAGCTATTGCTTTAAAATGCAAAAATCAGATACTTCTGTAGCCTTAGAAAGCATGGTCAAAAATTCTACAAGGAAACCAACAGAGAATAGGAAGGGCAATGAAAATTAAAGTCAAGAAAGGAAAAATTGACAGGTGAGCATACTCAAGTTTCATACTCTCTTGAGAAACAGGGATATGAGGATAAAAAAGATTAAAAAGAAACAAAACCTGGTTTTAAACATTTGATAGAAAGAGGGGAGGGATAGCAATATTCTGGAGTGGAATTCCAGGGATGGGGAGTAGAAGAATGGGGAATTTTAAAAAAACAGCTTAAATTTTTTGATAAAACAATAGAGGAGGATATGCAGTTGCTACTACTTTGAAGAAATGGAAAAATTATCGTTGTCATGATCATCATCATCATGTCCTCTGCAGAAGTTCATTCATCTATCATTTGTATTAGGGAAACTGACAGGTGACAGCATTTGTTCTGCTTGTAGACAGATAAAGTAACATGTAGCCTATTAAAAAATGAGCAGCTCATGTTTGCTAGTTTCATTTCCCCAGCAGTACTATGAATAATGCATACCCTGTGGTCCCTGTTGTCTTGCAAGTAGGCTAGCCTGTTTCTGTGTTTTTAAGGTACTGTCCATATCAGCTTATACTATATTTTTCTAAACACTCATCTTTCTTTTTCACTGTTTCCTGCAGCTGAAATTTGATGGTTACTTAGGGTCAGCAGAGTCACAAGATCAAAAAAGAAGCATTCTAAGTTTACTAGGGAATTACAGAAACATGGTGTTAGAAAGACGTATCTGACCATCAAATCCAACACTCTGTTTAGTACAGAAATCCAAACGGAAGCATCCCTGACTGATAATTGTTCTGCCTCTGCTTGAATGCAACCAACTGAAGGGATTCAGCAGCTCACAAAGTAGTTGGTCCCAGAGAAGGAACCAATTTAGGCCACTGTCCAAGACCAAGAATTTAAATGAAAGCCTCCAGTAATATTACTATGTAGCTTCGTGCTTGAACATATTCAGTGAAGGACAGAATATTAGCAATCTGGATGATTGGATCTACTGTCAAATATTCTTACTGTTAGGGAGGTTTTAAAATTGGATTCTGCTTTTCTGAAACTTAAGTGCTTTATTTATTTGTCCCTTTTGTAACCTCAATAATCAAAAAGACTCTTGGCTGTTAAGATCACAACAGACCGCACAATTAGTAAAGCTATAAAGAGCTTTATGGCTTTAAATCAGCACTTTGAATTGCATCTGAAAACCTATTGGAAGCCAATCCAATGCCCATAGTGCAGATGTTATGTACTTTCTGGTTGCTTTTCACCAGACAATAAGTGAATTGCTATATTTTAATAATAGAATAATAGGATACAGAGTTTCAATAACAGATTGAGAGGGACCTTGGCATCTTCTAGCCCAATCACCTGCCCAAGCAGGAGACCTATTCCATTCCTGACAAATTGCTGTCCCATTTCTTCTTAAAAACCTCCAGTGATGGAACATGCACAACTTCTGAAGGCAAACCATTCCACTGATTAACTGTTCTTGCTGTCAGACCATTTCTCCTTAGTGCTAGGTTGGACCAGTCTTTGGTAAGCGATCATCCATTGCTTCTTTTCTTGCCCTCAGGGGGAATAGGTTGAGTCCCTCTTTATGACAGCTTCTCAAATATTGAAAGACAGCCATCAAGTCAACCCTAGTCCTTCTCTTCACTGGACTAGATATACCCAGTTCCTGCATCTATTCATCATATGTTCAGGCACCTAATGCTGCCTGTTGCTTTACTCTGCACTCTTTCTAGAATCTCAACATCTTTTTATATTGTGAACTGAGTGCAGTATTCCAAGTGTGGTCTTACCAAGGCAATGTATAGAAGTATTAATATTTCATGTGGTCTTGATTCTTTCCCCCTATTAATGAAACCTAGGATTTCATTGGCTTTGTTGGCAGTTGCAGCACACTGCTGGCTCATACTTAAGTGGTTGTCCACCAGGACTCCTAGATCCCTCTTAAAGTTACTGCTGTTGACCCAGACCCAACAGAGTCTAAACATTAAGACAAAGTCTCTACAGCATGCCAGCACAATCATAGTTGAGGTAGAGATACATAACTATTAGCACTTTGATGAGACCTCACTCCAAAACAAAAAGAAAGAATAAGCCTTGACTTCCTATGTGACATTCTTTTAGGTATTTGAAGAATGCTATCATATTTTCCCTAAGTCATGTTTCTCATTAGTTAAACTTAACCTTTTCTTTATTGGACAGATGTCTATGGTGATTGTCAGTCATCCAGGTCATATTTGTCCCAAAGGTGCTTTTTCAAGGGGCAACTGGACTTCCTTGGTTTTCTTTGAAGACATTTTACTTCTCATCCACAAAGCTTCTTCAGCTCTGACTGGATGTTGTGGAATGGAAGGATTTATATTCCTTACAGATGGCTGGACATTTGAATTCTTTTAAGAGAGTTGTTGAGGCCACCTGGAGGTTTATCTGTGTCATCGGCAGTGGTGGGATTCAATTTTTTTTACTACCGGTTCTGTTGGCGTGGCTAGGGGGCGTGGCCAGGGGGCATGGCCATGGCTTGGTTTGTTTGTTTGGTTTGTTTTTTTTTTGCTTTTTGCAGCAAAACTCCCCTCCCCCCATTTTTTGGGGTGTTCTGAGCCTCA